TTATATAAACATTAATATTAATTAAATAATTATATAAACATTAATATTTACTAAATAATTATGTAAACATTAATATTTACTAAATAATTATATAAACATTAATATTTATTAAATAATTATATAAACATTAATATTAATTAAATAATTATATAAATATTTATATTTATTAAATAATTTTATAAGCATTATTATTTAATAAATAATTATATAACTAGCAATAAATAATAACATTAAACATTAATAACAATAATTCTTCTAGTATCTGCCAAAGAATTGTTATAACTGTATCACTTTCAAAATTTATTTTAATTCATTAAAAAATATTATAAATTATACTAAAATAGTAACTTACTCAGGAACACCAATTAGTTCATTAAATCTATTAAATGATGCCACAATGACAACATATTTTTTATCTATGAAAAAAAGAAGATAAAAAATTTTATAACTACTTAGTATATAACATAAAATATTTACAACAATTTTGAAGTAGGAGAGGCCAGGAGTAACAGTTTCAAAAAACTTAAAATCTTAAAAATGAAAAACGAAAATCTCATTAAAACCCCATTATCTCAAAACTCAAAACTTACATAAGGTTAATTATACATTTACAATTATAACCTTGATTCAAATTGCCATTTCATAAACGAGTGGTTCCGATTTCGATCCCCACCACGTCCCTGGTAGTACCGCGCTCAACTCGTTTCTCCGCGCAGCGGCCTTGTTCGTCAAGGTTCGTGTTTCGGAGATTTATCAACATCAAAAAATGCAAATATATACAAACTATAATTTGATATATATACAGCACAATTTGAGTATTATGTATGCTTTAAACTCAGATGCCAGAGCCTACCCTATACAAAAAAGATTTTGAGAAATAAAAAGCAAAAATTGATTAATTTTAAAATTTATCTTTAAAAATTAAAAAAAAAAATTAATAAAGAAACATTTGTTAATTTTTTTGAGAAATTTTTAAATCTTGTGGCAAACAAGTATAGTGGAATCAGGAATAATTTGTAATTTGGAAATAGCTGATACAAACTATATATATATTTTATACATAGACTATATATACTTTTTTATTGATAGTAGTTTTTAAAATTAAAAAAAACCTGTTTATTAAACTTATTAAAATGTTTATTATTTATATTAAATGGCATGGTATTTACAATTAAAAAGTTAACAAGACTTTACATTGTCAATAAAAATGCGAAAAAACAAAAGCAACAGAACTTGATAATGATATGTCTGGATGTAGTTTACTTATAAAAAGATTTTCTTATAAGATCTGGCCTTATTGCATTATCCCAAAATGTTGACATGATTTTCTAAAAAGAATTTCATAATTTATATGGCAAGTCAACAACCTGAAAAACATCTATGCAGAGTTCATTGTAGAAAAAGCCTAAATAAAGCCTAAATAAAACTTATAAAATTAAAAGTCTTAATATAAGCTAAACATAAATAGCATGACTGTTAATATACTTTCATAAAATAATAATAATGATTTCTTACACTTTCTAAATATTTACAACCATAATAAATTAATGATTTTAATGCCATGAGCAGTACATGTGAAATTAATTTTGTTTAATTAACTAATACCTTCTTCCAACAGTGTTTTAGGAACTACAACTTCATTTTCAACACACCAAACAACATTTTTTGTTGGTAAAAGTGGTTGGATATTTACAACTAAAAAAAAAAACAATTAGTTAAGAAAGTATGTGTTCATCTTTTACTAACTAATAATTTAAGTATTCAATTGAGAAAGTAAGTTTATATTTTACTATATAGTATTTAACAAAAATATAAAGAAATAAAAATGTTGCAAAAATTTTACTTCTTTTTATTAAGTTTAATTGCTCAATTGTCATGTTCTACATATATTATGCTAATTAGTTACGTTTCATTTTTGAAAAACTTTTTTTAACTAAATGAAATGCGAAAAACAATTACAATTTTTGTTTAATACAAGTTATAGTCCTTGCTTTCAAATGTAGGATTACTGCAAACATTTTAAAAATCTTCTTTTTAAAAATTATTATTTCATTAATCCTTGTGTTATCTCATTCATTCTAAATCAATTTGCATTTATTAATTCCTTTATTTCTTTTATTAGACATTGTTTTTATAAATTTACCTATATTTTCTGATAAAATTACTTTTGAAGTGCTGTTTAGTTTGGCCGAAGTTTCAATGAGTTCATCAGTTGCTTTTAACAATTTTATTGCATCTTTAGAGCGTTTTTCCTAAAGCATAATAATAATAAATATTTCTACATTATTCACCTTACAAAACCTAAAAATAAAAAAATTAAAAGTTTAAACATGTTGTTAATAATACTTTGAGATTTCATAACTACAGTATCGGACAAAACAAGTGCAACCAAATAATGCTAATTTAGTTTCTTTATATATAAGTGCTGCATATCTTTATATAAGTGCTGCATTTTTTCAATTTAGAGAAATAACTATGTAACTGTTTAGAGACAACGTTCATTAAGTTTTATTCATCACAAAGTTCATTATTTGTACACGAAAATTAATAAATTAATCAAAAGTATTAAAAAAAGTTGATTTCCTTCTAGATAAAACAACTCCACAAAATATTGACCAAGCTGTATTTTGCAATCAATATTTTGTGGTGAATCCTTTGTTGTCGATCACAGCCTTGCATCTTCAAGGCATAGATTCAATCAGGTGATTAATGAAACTTTGTGGAATCGCTGCCCAGGCCTTTTGGATTTGTTCAAACAGTTGATCCTTATTACGAACACCTTCACAATTAATTCTGCAATTGACGATCTCCCACAGGTTCTCGATAGGGTTGAGATCCGGAGATTGAGGTGGCCAATCCATCACCGATAGGTGGTTGTCTTGAAACCACTGCTTGACTACTTTTGCAGTGTGTTTCGGATTGTTGTCTTGCTGAAAAACCCAATTTATTAGCATATTCCATTCAGCATGATGTAACATAACATCTCTCAAAATATTTTTATACATGAAACAGTCCATTACTCCATCGATTCGATGTATTGGACCTAGACAGTTAGCAGAAAAACACCCCCAGACCATTACATTGCCTCCACCATGCTTCACGGTCTTATGGCAGTAACGTAAATTAAGGCGTTTTCCGGCCGGTCGACATACACAGCAAATGCCATCACTCCCAATGATGTTGAACTTCGATTCATCACTGAACAGGAGAGTTCGCCATTTCTGCACATTCCAGTCAATATGAGATGTAGCAAACAAGAGTCTTTTTTTCTGGTTCTTTAGTGAAATCAGCAGTTTCTTTGCAGGGCGTCGAGAAAACAATCAGGCTTCAACAGCACGTCGTCTGATTGTTTAATCAGATACAGGCAGCTCCAAATGCTTTTGTATTTTGACTGATGATATCCAGGGATCCTTCTTGACGGACCTGACAATCATAAAGTCCTCTCTAGAAGTGGTGGAACGCAGTCTTCCACTTTTGTTATCTGCTGCCAACTTCCCTGTAGAACGATATTTGGAACATAGTCTTTGATATTTTCACACGATATTTATCACAAATACTTTTTTGTGACATTCCACTTACGTACTCGCCAATAATTTTCTTTTTTAGTTCCAATTCAAGACTGTTGGGAGCTATTTTCGCACTTGGATGCTTCTGAATGTTTCTGGATACTTCTGAATGCTTCCAGATGCTTCTTCTGGAAACTTCTGGAAGCTTCTGCATGCTTCTGGAAACTTCCTTTAATTATTAAAAAACTTCTGTGACGTTGACACGGACCAGATTTAAAAAAATGAAACAAACCAAAAAAGTTGCACTTGTCTTGTCCGCTGCAAAATTGCACTTGTCAACAAAATTCTGCCTGTGTGCTGTCACCTGTCAGCTGATTTCTCATGTCATGGTATGCTATGACTCCAGACTCCTGAACTGTTTGCTGTGTTGGTATAGTTCGTTTCATTTTTAAGACAAGTAAAATTAGAAACACTTTTAAGCATTGTTCGATGTTGATTGCAAATGTTTTGTCCAATACTGTACTTGAAGTTTATTTTTTCAAAAATATGTTCCAAAAATTTCAAATCTTTAAAAATAAAGCTAAAATTACTTAAAAAAACTCTAAATGATTTTATTCAAATAAATTAAACTGACCTGAGTTAAATCATTCCAAAACATGGACGAGTCTTTATCTAACAAATGACTTGTTATGTTTAAAACAATCTGAAAAAGAATTATTGACACCAAGTTTAAAACAGTTTGAAAAATAATTGTTGACACAAAGTTTAAAACAGGCTGAAAAAGAATTACTGACACCAAGAAATAGTTTAAATCAATTACCTGAGAAAAGTTAGATATTTGCTGCTGATTAACAATTTGAGAACTTTTCACAAGAGATTCAACAGCATCAATAACATTTACCAGATCGCTGCCAAATTGCATATTATTATTATTCAGTACATATGTAGAAAGTCTCTCAGATTCTTTTGAAACATCTGTAGAAGATTTTAGCTATAAAAGTTTATATATAATTTTCATTTTTAAATAAAATACCTCATCCATTTATTCATTATGTTGAATTTTAATTATATATGTATTCATAATTTATTAAATTCTATTTGTTATTTTTTTGTTTCTCTTTGTTGAAAAAAAATTATAATTTTGTCTTTAAAGCTCTGACTTTTATTATTTGAGACCCCAAAAAATAAACAACTATTATGAAGTAGATACTGCTAAATCAGTAAAGTTGTTTTACCAATTTACTGGTAAAATTAATAGTAAATTTTGGTAAATTACATTTTTTCCCAACGCAATCAATTGAAGAATCGATTTTAAGATTTACAGCACTGAATAGATTTAGCTTCCGTGCCATTGTTAACAACTCTTTCATTTGATGTGTGAAAAAGGTTATGATTTTCCAAAATATCACAAACAATTAATCCAGTCAGTTAAAAGTTTGCATGAATTTGACTGTAAATACACTTTTAACTTAAAAATGAACATTCAAAAACGCTTTTTGATCACACTAGATGATTACACTTCTCTGAAAATTCAAGTTAGAAAAATATCAATATTCATCAAAAACACACATACTGGAATCTGGGTTTGACTCAAATTTCTGGATTTTTGTCAGCTGAAAAAGCTGCAGTAGCTGTCACATAAAAAATGGCAAAATGTGGGTTGAATATTGGAGACAGCATTGTTTGCTCAGTTTCAAATGGAGTCTCCATGATGTGCAAGTTTGGAAAACTGGTTCCAACTGAGCATCAAATGTATTTACACCTATATAATGTATTTAGCAGTTCAAAAAGTTCTATACAAGAAGTCTTACCAAAAAATTGATAACAACAAATTGCAAGTAACAAGTGACAAAGACAAAGTTAGCAGTGACAAATCTAACACTGAAGTTTTTTTTTTTTGTGAATTTATGGATAAAAATATTCCAATTTCAAAAAAAAATTTCTCTTATCCTTGACTGCAAAACAAGATGGAACAGTCTACTGCCGATGGTTTAACATAAGTTTCTCAAAGTTAAAGGCTCAATCAGAAAAGTATTAAAAAACGTTACTCCACATTTAATTTGCAGCAATGATTAAGTAAACATTTTATCAAGATTGCTGCTACTATTGAACCAGTCAAATTGGCAGTAGTTGCCCATTAGCGACTGAATGCAACTCTTCTTACAGTTGAGGGAATTTTCAAGTTTTTCATAAACAGACTGAAACAACAAGATTTAACTCTTTGCTTTTTGAGATGTTTTGAAGAGCAATTTTGTATGCTTGTACAAATACCTTTCCAATTGTTAAAACGTTAAAATTCTTGAATTTTTCCAATTTTTAAAATGTTAAAACGCTTTCAAAATGCCTTTGAAGTCTGTACTTCAAGACTTCCAAAAAAATGCTGCCTAGACTTTTCCCAACAAATCCAGATGAATTTATTCAAGAAATGTGTTGCTCAGAAAATCTCACTAAAATTTTGCTTTCACTTAATGGTGAACTTGAGGAAGCAACTCAGTATTTAAAAGTATTTAAAAAATCTTGGTTCTGTATTTCATGTAGGGAAAAAATTTTTCCATTCAGTACTTTATCAGATAAGGAGCTGCACCTGCAAACAATAAATGATAAAGTGATTCATATTAATGAATTCGAAAACAACATATCATCATTCCCAAACACCATACAGTCTAATCTTTATAATGAACCTAATGATTTTATTTCCCATCAACTTAATAACAACAATAACGACATAAACCTCGAAGAAAACCTTATTAATTGTAAATATATGGACAAAAAGTTTTAACTCTTCTAACATCGACAAAAATGATTTTTCTCTTTTTCATTTAAATATTGCTTCTCTTGTAAAAATTTTGATGAATTAAACTCGCTTTTATCTCTTATTAATCATAAATTCAGTATTATTGGCATAACTGAAACTAAACTAAAAAATGACATTTTACCAACTATCCCATTAAATCTTACCGGTTATGTTTATGAGCACACTCTGACAAAATCTTATTTTGGAGGAGCTTTACTTTATATATCAAATACATTAATTTACAAACTTCGATATGATCTTAATATGCTTAAACCAAAGCTTTTAGATTCTGTGTTTGTGGAAATCATAATTCCTAAAAAATCAAACATCATTATTGGCTGTATTTATCGCCATCCTAGTATGGATATTTCAGAATTTATTAAATCATATTTAATTCCACTTTTTGAAAAGCTATCTATGGAAAAAAACAAAACTACTTTTTTAATAGGCGATTTTAATGTCGATCTTTTATTAACAAACTCAGATAATTCTGTCTCCGAATTTTTAGACACTATTGCTTTAAATAACTTTCTTCCTTTTATTTCATTGCCAACAAGAATCACAAGTCACTCCAAAACTCTAATTGATAACATATTTTCTAATGCAACTTCTACAAATAATTTTGCCCATAATTTTACTTCTACGGTATCAAATCATTTGCCCCAATTTTTAATACATCCATTTTATAGAACCAAAATTAATACTCGTAAAAGCTGCATTTTTCGTTGAAATTTAAAACAAATAAATTGCGTTGAATTATGTAGTGATTTCTCAAAAATTAGCTGGACTAATGTAATCAATGTCAACGAAGGTAAGACTAATAAGTCATTTAAAGAGTTTTTCTCAAGTTTCAATTCTCTTTTAGATAAACATGCACCATTGAAAAAAGTCAGCAATCGCTGCTTATCAAGGGCTCTCAAACCTTGGATAACACGAGGAATCTTGACTTCTATTAAAATGCGAAAAAAAATATTTAACAAATTTCTTAAAGCAAAGAATCCTAATAACAAACTCAATCTAGAAAAATCTTATAAAACATATAGAAACTTACTTGTTACTCGTCGTAGTAAAAAGAACCATTATTCTAAGTTCTTCTATGACAATGACACAAGTGGTTTGTTTTTTACTTTATTTATTATTTACCTATCTTATATTTATTTATTAATGTGTTATTAATGTTACATTTTATGTTATTATTATATCTAACTATCATCTATGATTTGTACATACAATTTATATTGTATTATAATATTCTTAATATTATTGGTACTTTATTATTATTGTTATTATTTTGTATTATTACTATTATTATTACCAGGCTTTCCCAGGAAAGGCGTGCGGTCGCACGCCTTTTTTCGTGGTCGCAGCATTATTTCGTGGGAAAGCGGAAATTAGAGAATAAAAAATAATTTTAAAAAAAGGAAACAAAGTCTAAACAAAGTATAAAATTGAAATTGGATGTAAGAAAAATATTTTGATAATAAAAAAAAAATAATATTTTTAACAAAAAAAAAAAAGTCTTGAACATTTTTTTCAAAATTTTTATACTGTTTTTTTTTTTTTTTTAGGGTTGCTATTTTCAGCTACGAAATTTGATACAAGTCAAGGAAAAGACGACGATAAGTCATAAAGTTTTCATGAAAATAAAGACTTGATACGTAATTTATTCACGAACTTTATCAGACAATGTATTTATTCACGAACTTTATCAGACAATGTATTAAAAAACTGATTCATTATTTACGCTAGACAAATTTGGTTAAACTTTTTCATTTAATTTAGTTTTTACGAAGTTTTATGCAAAGACGATGACTTTATTCCCCAATAATTAGACAAGAAAATAAATTGCTGTTTTAATTATTAAATATATTATTTGAGATTTTAAACATAACAAAATTTTAATTTGAAAAAAGTTCTTTCTCGACATATTCTAAACTGATTATACTGAGTCAATGCTCGCCTTTTATTACGTTGAAATTATTCAATTGCATAATTTTGTTATTACGAAAGAAGTTAAAATAATAATTGCATTGCTTCTGTTGTCATTGTTACGAAAACAGTTCCTTCGGGACATTATTATATATTAACACTCGCTCACAATGTCAATTAATGATTGCAAAATAAGCAACTCAATCGTTTGACAATAAAATTTTCTTCCATTTAAAAAACAAAACAAACATATTTTACTAATAAATAGCAATCGTTTTCGTGTTTTCTTGCGTATCAATACATTCAAACATTTAAATCAATACATTTAAACATTTAAATGTATTTACAAAACATTTAAAAATTGTTTATAGTTCTATCGTAAATTTTAAAGTATTACTGACTGATAAAAGTCATTGATAAACAAATTTTACATTAAAAGGTTTTTTTATTTTCTTTAAACATTATTCTTTTTCTTTTTGATTTGATTTTTCTTATTGATTTGATTTTTCATAGCTAAAATAACTACAACCCTAAAAAAATAAATAAATAAAATATAGGTAAACTTTTTTTAATTTTAAAGCACAAACAGATTTCTGTTTTTACTTTAAGGTTGCTTGCATTTTTGCGGTATTTTCGTTTAGCTATGTTTTGGCGCGAATCTTGAAACGCATAATAAATAAAACATGGTCAGTTAGTCAGAAAAATTTATTCTATGCGTGGACAAACAAGGCGTGCGACCGCACACCTTTCCTGGGAAAGCCTGTATTACATATATCATTATTATTTGTTTAACAATCTTTTCTTCTTTTCTCTCTTATTTATATATACAGATGTTGAGTTTTTCCCTTTTTTTTTTTTTTTTTTTTTTTGCTATTTATTTACTTATTTATTTTTTCGTGAAATTTTTATGTTTTTTAGGTGTCACTCCATTGACTAGTTTGTAACTATATAAGTAACACCTAACCAATTTATATTAATTTACAATGAAATTTGTAAATTTTATTGATATGGTTGAATAAAAAAAAAAAAGAAATTTGTTTGAAAAAAAGCCCTACAATTCAAAATGCAAACTAAAATCCATTTCAAAAGAAATGTTGGTCTACGAAGCTACTGGAAAGAGAGTTGCTAAACTTAAGCTTTTGTTCAATTCAGTTGATTCACCCAAAGCTCATTTTTTATAAATACAATAATTATTAATAATGAAATTATTTTGAAAAAAAAATTAAATATGAGTTTCTTTGTTTTGTTTTTCTATTTTTACAGATTTTACTGGTATTTACCAGTAAATTATGGATTTTTTTATAGATTCACCGATAAATTTAAAAGCTCAACACTACAAAGAACACAAAGTTATAAGAAGTTATAAGGATAAAAAGGCTACTATTTTTTTTAAAACTATTTTTAAACTATCTTTCTCTAAACTCCTTAACTCCCAAACACAAGCCTTGACAAACAATGCCATTGCGCAGAAGAACAAATTGTTTATTCAATCAAGATAATAGTTGTACAACATGGAATATGATAAAATAATTATTCAATTTTTGATGTTTCAGATATAAAACTTTCAGGTATTGTGAAAACTATAAACTTGAGTAATGTGGCTTGTAAATTTAACTTTAGTAAATGTAACTTGAGTAATTTCACACTAACATCATAGATAGGTTATAAATAACATATTTCACATTAATTTTTTTTTTACAAAATGGTAAAGAACAGTTTATGCAGTTCTATAAAAAAATGTTAAAAACTAAAAATGAATCCTAACATTTAC